CGCTCGGACTGACGCACGGACGGACGGACGATCATGCGATTCTACAAGCTGCATCTGACTATGTCAGATGAGCTAATAAAAATGGATTGCTTGTAATTCGATATTTTCTCTAAATATACACCTGGCATTTCACTGCCGATTAACTCACCATGCTGCAAGTTCGCCCAAACAGCTTTGGATTACTCTACCATGTAACACGGCGAGTTACTCGACAACCAAATTTCAAGCTGGTAGATGGAGCTATTTGAATAACTTCCTCAGTCGTATAGCCTACACACTAGGTGTTTCTACACTTATTGCAGTTTCCGTCGCTTTTAACGAGCAAAGTCTCAACTAATGCCGTGGCCGACAGAGACCCAGTGTGTGCAGCATGCAAACAGCTGTTTACATTTCCAAACACACATCGAGAACGTGTGTCAGAGAGTAAAACTTCGCAGGAAGCCATCCATGCGCAGCGGAATGTCACAGTGAGCTAACGGACATGTTTCTTCGTACAGTAATAGCGCAGCACGAAGACTCATAACTTGATGTAGTAACTCAAAGATGAGCAGGAGCGGCGGTCGATATAGACTCTTCATGTTGACAGTGAACTCGTGTCTATTCACCCATCACAGCAACTGCATGTACAGTTAGCTATTGGCCTGTCACTGTTGGCTCTACATAGCTAGGAAACAGCAGCGCCTAAAACGTCTATCAGCTAACTTGCAGTTTTACCTATCACGCTATAATATTATAATTTATACCGGCAAGTGTACCCACGCACTATGGCGTTACACTGAAGTCCGATATATACAAAACACGTACAACTTACTGAAAGTACGTTGATAGCAACGTCTAGGTAAAGTAACGTAAGGCGGGTATATAAATGCTACTATTCAGCCATTTATAAATAGATACGCTTCGCACAGTTTTAAGTTTTACTGATCAATACAAGTGTCCCAAGCGACAATGTGCACTGTGCAGCTGACACGGCGTTGCTCCCTCCTCCTCATCCCCCTGCAGCTGCTGCAGCTGCGCCCATAATACAACAGTACTAGTGCTGCTGTACGGTGGCCCAGTGTTATAATACATAAACATAACCATATACCGCTGAGTATGGTGGCCCAGTGTTATAATAGTTTATCACAAGTCTTCGACGTGGCTCGCTGTTATAATACATAAACATAACCATATACCGCTGAGTATGGTGGCCCAGTGTTATAATAGTTTATCACAAGTCTTCGACGTGGCCCACTGTTATAATACATAAACATAACCATATATACCGCTGAGTATGGTGGCCCAGTGTTATAATAGTTTATCACAAGTCTTCGACGTGGCCCACTGTTATAATACATAAACATAACCATATACCGATGAGTATGGTGGCCCAGTGTTATAATAGTTTATCACAAGTCTTCGACGTGGCCCACTGTTATAATACATAAACATAACCATATACCATAAACACGACCATAGACCATATACCATAAACACGACCATAGACCATATACCATAGACCCTATACGCATCGAAGACTTGTGATAAACTATTATAACACAGGGCCACCATACTCCGCGGTATATGGTTATGTTTATGTATTATAACAGTGGGCCACGTCGAAGACTTGTGATAAACTATTATAACACTGGGCCACCATACTCAGCGGTATATATGGTTATGTTTATGTATTATAACAGTGGGCCACGTCGAAGACTTGTGATAAACTATTATAATGTAACATATGTTTTACAAATAGTCAGCGGAGCTAGACTAGGGGTTGTTTTAGTAATAGTCTNGATCAAGGTCAAGGTAAAAGTCAAATAAAGGTCGCACTGACCTGGTTTTGGTACGCTGCGCACCTTCTCCCCAAGATGTGTAAGTCTACCAAGTTTGGTAGCGCTAGGTCAATTAGGGATCGAGTTATAGAGCGGAAAGAAAAGTGTCTGCGGCTGGACAGACATGAAACCATAGTATTCCCGCCGACTTCGTCGCAAGGGGATACAATTAAATAAGGAAGTACTCTTCTAATAGTGCACATTCATGTCAGAATAGCTTAATTAAACAAGTGCCGCAGAGCGACTGGGCTCATCTGAGGTCTGTTGCTACGGTTATAAACGTAACATTTCAGTCGTGCGTAGTGACACCTTTGTTAGGCGCAGATATGCAGATACGCAGTTGCGTACACATAATTTCAGCAAGCATTTTTTTTATTGCAGAGAAAGAGCGAGTGAAAGGAAGAAAGAGGGGGGCGAGAGAGAGAAAGAGAGAGAGAGAGAGAGAGAGAGCGCGCGAGCTAGAGGAGAGAGAGGGAGAGAGTCAGTCGGACTAAATTGTTTATAAACAAATAACACCCACGCGGCGCGCTACTGTATCAGTTACGTCATCGATTGAAATGTACATTCTGATTTCGCCGCGTGGCGTCCAAACTTTCGACAAAGATGGCGGGCAGAGGTAAGGTAGACGCACGTATAACGTACAGATTTCTTCAATGTCGGGGAGGATCAACACATTTCGACTGACAGACAGTCAACCATCGGGCTCTGCAAGCCAGCATGCTCCACCATATCCCGACATTGCACACTACTGTAACATTGACGAAGAGAGCCATGCCAAGGACAGTACAAAACTCGCAAATTTTCATTGGTAGGTTTGACGATTCAATTCTGCAATTACTTATCTCAAAATTGATTAAACTGAAGTTAAGAAAGTAATTCTTTCTGCACTTTTGAGCGCAATATACATTTGACCTATCCTGCCGGGACATTCTTCTCACTCTGTTCCGATAGATGGCGTGCATAATGCATCGTATTACGTAGACTGGTACCCGGTCCCACCTCTCGGATTAGTTACTCGATGGGGCGAGTAATCGAGGTGAGAGCGAGTACCAGTCTACGTTTAGCCCATGCTGTGATACTATCAGCCATGCTATCAGCCACCCACCTGCGAGGTAGTACTATTTATAGTTGGCCTTAATCAAAAACAGACGTTTGCGTAAGTGCTATTGACATTGTATTCCCAACGTACAGAATCTCATATAGAGAATGAAGTTCATATATGATTTAAGGCGCGTAAACGTTGTTCAAATAAGTTTTGCATGCAGAATTTCACTGTGAAATTTAAGTCTTCCACGATAACACAAGTACCATCAAACACAGACTTTATTAAAGTTATTACAGTCCTTTGTTAACAGTCAACAAATCCATGTTTAACCCTCCTCTTGCGGGTCAGAAGGTTATCA